ATATTACACGGTAAAGTGTTAACAAAATGTTTAAGGAAGTGGGAAGTTACATATTAGAACACTTGTAGGTGAGACGAGTGGAAAATTGGTTATGTTTGGAATTTTGGTTTGTTAAAGAAATTTGCGAATTTTGATAAAATTTTGATGAGGATTTTTAGCTAGATTTGTCTAGTTTTGCGTAAAATTTGTAAAAGTACGATTTTTGGTTTAGGTGATTTTTGAAAAATTGTTTTGTAATAAAATGTACCGCAAGGAAGATGGAAAGTAATATAATAAAATTGGTTAAGTTTGGAATTTTGGTTTGTTAAAGAAATTTTTGGATTTCGATAAAATTTTGATGAGGATTTGTTGCTATATTTGTCTAGTTTTGGATAAAATTTGCATAAGTACGATATTTGTGTCTGGAAAATTGTTTTATAGAAAAGTGCACCGAGAGAATGTTTTTAGTAAATTAGTATTTTTGAAGTTTTTTAATTTTATATAATTAAGTAAATAAGAATAGATTTGTTTGGGAATTAGTAGTATAACTATTCTAGTATTTTACAAAATTTGCACAAGTTTGATATTTGTAATAATTGATTTTTAAAAAAATGTTTTGTGGAAAACTGTACCATAAGGGAGAAGAAAATTTATTCAATGCAATTGGTTAAGTTTCGAATTTTGGTTTGTTAAAGAAATTTCTTAATTTTGAAAATTTTGTGAAAGGAGTTGGTTGGTTGATTTGTCTATTTTTTAGTAAAATTTGTATAATTTCGATATTTGTGTCAGGAGATTTTTGAAAAATATTTTTGTGAAAAATGTACCCCAAAAATGCTCCAGAAAATAATATCTAATATGGTGACACGAAAAACAATTATTCAAGTTTGGAATTTAATTTTATTAAAGAAATTTCTTAATATTGAAAATTTTGTGAAAGGAGTTGATAGGTTGATTTGTCTAGTTTTAAGTAAAATTTGTATAATTTTGATATTTGTGTTAAGCGATTTTTTAAAAATTGTTTTGCGGAAAAATGTACTCCAGAATTGCTCGAAAAACAATAAACTATTATATATAGAGGTGTAATAAGAAACTAATTTAAGTTTGGAATTTCAGTTTGTTAAATAAATTTGTTGATAAGAATGAAATTTTTATATGAATACATTATTTCATTTGTCTAGTTTTTGGCAAAATTTACACAAGTTCAAAATTTTCATTCGCCGATTTTTGAAAAATTATTTTGTGATAAAATGTACCCCAAAAATGCTCGAGTAATTAATATCTAATATGGCGGTGAGGCAAAAATCAAATGGTTAATTTTGGAATATTAGTTTGTTATATAAATTTGTAAATAAGAATGAAATTTTTATGAAGATTCATAGTTGAATTTGTTAAGTTTTTGGCAAAATTAGCAAAAGTACAAAATTTCCATTCGCTGATTTTTGAAAAATTTATTTATGGTTAAATGTATCCCAAAAGTACTCTAAAAAGTAGTATTCAATATAGCGGAATTTAATATATTTACTTAATAATTTGTTAAGTTAAGAATTATAGTTTCCTATATAAATTTGTTAATTTTGATAATTTTTTTAGAGAAATATATAATAAAACTATTTAATATTTTGTAAAAATTAAATTGTATTAAAATTAGCAATAACTAGTTTTTCAAAAATAATTTTGTAGTAAAATGTACCACCAACTTATCAAATCATAACATTTATAGACTCGTCATTAATTTTTTAAGTAATTAACAAGTCAACGTCATATATATATATATAATATATATATATATATATATATTATATATATATATATATGTGTGTGTGTGTGTGTGTGTGTGTGGTGTGTGTGTGTGTGTATGTATGTATGATGTTAATATTTGTACAAATATTTAGTTGGTGAAATTGAAATAAAAATGTTGTTTAAAATTATTTAGTAGTACGTGACATTTGGCACGTACAACTTCATATTTTTTGGAAAGTCTTTCACATTAACATTCAACATATATAATATTTCGTAACAACTAAATAATAAAATATATTTGTGTGAAAATGTTATATATATATATATATATATATGCTATTGATTGCAAAATGTTA